ATATATTCAAATTGATTAATCTATATATCATTAAGTGAAGAAACAGAGCTGAAATATAGTATTTATGCAGTATATCAGGAACAATCTAGACTTTATTTCTATAATGGTGAGAGAACATTATAAAAAGTTATATTAATCATAAAATCTCATTTCTATTTGTTTATTCCTGTAAATAAAGTGTAAACAATATTTATAAAACTGTCAATAACAGACTGTTTTATAATAAAATATGCCTTAATTTTATCGATCTTACCACAGGAACTATTTATCAAAAAATACAGAAATATTCTGTTTCATAAAGTTAAAAATATACTTGATTAGAAAATGTATGGACAAGCATTGTACTTCAAATCCTTTTATATTCGTCCCCTCTAACCCCTTTAAATTTTGGCCAGACATTTTCTGATCACCCTGTATACAATAAATAGTACTATTAATAAATGAAGATATTTGTAAATAACCATTTTAATTAAATACGTTAATATAAATTGCACACTACAATTTATCACTAATTAAGTGAACACAAACAAGATAATTGAAAATGTGAAGTAGCAAAATACTTCAAAAGTTCATCATCATCATCCATTCCTACTGATACCCAGAGGGTGTACAGGTCAACATGGTAAAAAATCAAACTTTTCTACTACCATCCACTATTTTTCTCCAAACTCTCCTATTGACAGACAAGTTTCTAGCCTGGAGTAAAGTTAAATTCCTTCCCTCTAAGCCCTGCTTAACACTATTAATTCATCTTTGTCTAGGATGGTTTTTGGTTTTGGTTTTTTTCTCTCTGATTTTAGCTTCAAATACCTGTTTGGCTAGTTGCTCTCCTCTTATTCTAAATGACCAAACCACCTCAGATTAGCCTCACTTACTCTTGACAAAATATTAGTTACCTAGGTTTTTTCTTATGTCTTCATTTCTAATATGATTTTGTCACTATATCTATCTATTAACACCACTAATCCTGCTGTTCCTAATTTTTGGTCAATTCTCTTATTTCTCATTCAACTCTCAGAACCATATGTCAGTATAGGTTTAAAAATTGTATTGTACACAGCTAATTTTGTCTTGACTTAGTCTTTCTTGTTCCAGATATATTTGCTCAATTGGCTCTCTGCATGATCTGTTTTGCTTAATCTATTGCTGATTTCCAAATCTAACTTTCTGTCTTCACTAAAAATTGTTCCTAGTGTGAGAACCTATTAACATGTTCTAAGCAAAAGTTTTTATAATTTTACATTGTAATACTGTTTCTGAATTATCAAAATATATGTATAAAATAAAATGTTTGCTGGATATATATTAAGTGATGTATAAGGAATATAATTCAACAGTTCATTTTTATATATATTAATAACTTCATTCATAACTATGACAAAATTATTTAATTCCTTAAAATAATCTATCAGAAATGACACCAATATATTAGAATAATTAATTAAAAACTGCTTAATTCTTGAAACCAAAACAGTTTATTTTTCTGTAATGCTTTTGCTCTTTCTTTGAGTTATCAAAGAAAGAGCAAAAGCATTACAAATGATTGGAATATTCTAACTAGTTGTAAGTTGAAAAGGCTTGAAGTACAATAAAAATGTTATTAATTAAATAAATTTTAGTTCCAGAATTAAGCAGCTTCTTAATTAATTGTTCTATCAACAAAATTTAGCATTTGTTGATTGTTTTGGAATATTTAAACACTAGTATATCAAAAGGATTTATATTTCAAATTATTTATTATTTATTTATCTTCAAAAATATCAAAATACAGATAATAACTGAAGAAATCATCATTGGAACAGTGATATACAATTAAGAAAATGCAGAAGAACCCTGATTAATCAAGTTTCTTATTATCTGATGCAAACATGTAAGTGAATACAGTACAGTACATTAATTTTTTTATAATTCATAAATGATGTATAAGAATACACTGAGGACATAAATAATGTAATACTTTTAACCTCAACTGTATATAGCAAGTGACTGATGCTGAGGTGACTATCCTTTTAACACTTTTCACTAGGTGAGCAGTAATTGTGAGCGTGGCCAAACCCACAATGTAAATGGCCAGACTCACAATGAGAACAAGTGAATGGTGCAGGTCAGAGCCAACATATACTGGACAAATTGCCTATAAAAAGTGATGCTGAGGTGACTGAAGAACATTGTAGCAAAGGAAGAAATGAACTATTATAGAGTGAAAAACTCTAAACCACTTTTTAAAGTAAGTTTAAAATAATAATATACACTGTAGGCCAGGGGTGTCCAACCTTTTTGTTTCTCTGGGCCGCATTGAAAGAAGTCAAGGAGTTTTGGGCCACAAGTATATATAATATATACTTGTGGCCCAATATACAAGTATATTTAAAAATTAACATGTCTNCAGAATTATGAAAGTTGAGACAGACCGAATTATTGAACACCAAATTCATTCGCCTACTTCATTAAAAAAAGATATTACTTCATCTTAATTATTCGAGGAAATCCCAAAATCTCAACCATTTGGAACTCGATTTTTTAGCCAAGAAAAGACAGAAATTATTATCTGGGTGTAGGCAACATGACACACTTTCACCTAAAAATCGCGAATGCGTCCTACATACTCAGCTTTAGTAATCTCTTAGTTTACGAGGCGTCATATGTAAAATACAGCTAACGCCTATGCTGGGGTCAGCTAAGGTGAGTAACCTTGCACACTTAACCTTTTTTTTGAACCGGTTTATTAATACTTTCAATAACCCTGACCATGATATTTTTGAAATGATCGAAATTTATGGAGCAGAAGTTAAAATTTAAGTCTTATTCATAATTAAAATTCCTGCATACATTTCACAATTAAGTGAAGTTTCCATAACCTCATTTTTGTGCCACTTCCGGGTAATCTTGCTTATCTGTAATTTATTATTACCAGTCCAACACTCCAGACTGAAGGTCAGGTCCAGGGGTGCTGGACTGAAGCCAAAGAATAAAACAATTAAAAAAAAAGTTGAAAAAACCAGAAGACTTATTCCGTTAAGTCTACGATCGCCCTCAATAATGATTTAGTTTTTTTTATAGGGCCTAATCTAAAAATGTTCTTACTGTAAAATCTAATTACATTCCTTCTAACAATAAGTTATAATGCAGATTGATTTCCATAATTCAAAATGTCTATAGAAGGAGTCGACAGATTCGAATTGAGAAATTCGATTTCAAACGATTAACAGGAGCAAAGCAGGCATTATTGCTCTAATGGTTTTATCTATCTTGTTTATGGACAATGTAGGTAGGTTATCGGATGCAGATTAAATTCCAAGAATGAAAAACAAACAGAAAAAACTTATTATAAAAAGCCTACCATTAATGCAGACTCGTTATATCAGATAGTACTACAACTGTTAAAATTTATTTATATTGCCAATAATCATAGCTCGCATTTGAAATTTCTTAAGAAAAATAGTGATATAACAGTTTATCAGATGAAAAATCGATAAGAAATGTAGAAAATTCACGCATCATTTAATTTAAATTACAAGCTTTAAGCATAAAATAAGAAAACCAGTTTTAATATTTTCTCGTTATTTTTATTCTTGACTTTGTAATGCAGAATTTCTAGTTATCAAAGAGAATTTAACTAGTGCCGAACAAGTGACAGTCAGATTCTTTTCCTTTCAATTCAAAAAGTTATAATTTTTAGTATTCGTTAAACTTTTGGCACATTCAAAACTCCGTAAAAAGTCTGGGTTTCTAAATTTTCTTTATCTAAATATATGCCGACAACATATAGGCTACAGGTGGAATAGTTGTGGGCAACATTTAGGAAAACCAAACCGATTAACATACTAAAGACTTGTGACCTGACTTATGATAAGTTAATTCTATCAAACGGTAAAGGTGACCGCAATCACATTTAAGCTATAAGCAGACGTCAGCGGAAGATTCTGGCAGGACAGTCAAGGCTAGCCACATTCCTCGACTTGGTTGTTGACCTGGCTGAATATTCTCGTCTAAAAGAGTCCATCTAAAAGTGATGCTTCATAGATAAAGAGCTTAGAAGAAAATGAAAAAAGATATCAAATTTTATATGCATGAATTGGCCTACATATAAACACAAAAATATCGTCTTCTGGTTTATTAATAAAAGCGTTTTACTTTGCCAATGACATCAAAATATTTAATTCATATAATTTAAAATCGGCAATGATTTTATAGCATCGTAACAATGAATACTAGTTTAGTAGTAGCATTTTTGACCTTCTTTCAATGAATAACCTTGTATAGAGACGAGTCTTTTTTCAGAAATAAAAATCGTTACCTTCGTCCTAGGTCGCAAGACAAAAATATTCGATTGACAAAAGCGGAAATTCGACTTTTTAAGATTTTTTTTTTCAATCGATCAAATGCACAAACTAAATCGCACGAAAACAACTTTAAGTGTGCTCACGGTTAGTGAGTTTTAAGAACGAATCTTGCTTAATTTGATTTCTAAATATGGACAAAATGAAGCAATATTTACTTTTTGAAATGTAAAATTAATTAAACTTTCCGGCATAAGATTGGTTTTTAACGGAACCTGATAATTTAATTATTACTATTATACGCTTCGATAATTTCCTATCTTCGAATGATTATAGGCTGCTCTATAACGGTGTATCGTTTTTAATTACGGTTGATAAATTTGAATATCGTAAAATAAGGTTTTAATGTCTTAAAACACCACAAAATATTTAAAAGTGCTTTAAAAACGACTCCTTTTATCATTACGAACTGAAGGCCCACAATAATCTGAATAGACCAGACAATATAGTATCAAGGGCAAGCCACGAAGGGCAGTTTGGGAAAACTCCATCATTAATTTTATTCGCTTGTTTCTGTGGTTCCAACACTTTAATACATCGTCCTTCCTGGCATAAAAATGCAGCAAAGTATCACAATCGTTTAATCCTTCGCACGTATTACTAGATATGTCACGAAGAATAAGAGAAAGCTCTTACGCAAGAAACGGCAAGAATATCATAATGGTTGGATTGATGGAGAGAATTATCCTAGTACTTCCCCTAAATTCAAAATCTAAACTACCAAGTCCTTGGAATAAACGAAGGTATTTATAACATTCGATATCAGAAAAACTACCTTATAGCACCGAAGCATTAAGTGCGTCACAATCATAGAAAATCTTGCCAATTTTCGCGAGAAGAATGTTACTGCCCCAGGCAGGACCTGCTATTATCTATGTCAAGGTAAGGTAGGATCTACTCCCACTAATATGCTGGAAGGATACAATTTTTCTTTCTTTATGCTGAAGCTATCATTGACCTATTTCACCTATTTCCTGTATTATATTTGAATATGAAATTTGAAATATTCTCAAAAATTACACTTTTAATAAAATTTTCAAAAACGGGACATTTTTAAATTTAAATTTCCCACTTTTGTATACTGAAAAATATGGATAATGTATGAAAGTTTTCACAATTTTATTAAAAAAAACGTAAAAGAAATTTTAATACGTTGACATATTAAATGTTTTATTGGTAATTTGCATTAAAATTAGGGCAGATAATTAGCTTTCGAGATAAAAAGCTTTTTACTTGAATTCTTAACAATATGCAACAATTCTTACAAATGCGCATGATCATGTCCGCCATTTTTTTATAGGTCTAAATTATTTTACATTTCACTATGCATTTTAAAATGGATGTCATTGAAGTGTATTATGTATCATGTAAGTATCCTTTGTAGTTTTAACATCACGCATTCATTCCTACTACTAATTAATTAAATCAAAATACCAATGCTGTTAAATTTGAAGAAAGTTTCCCGTTTTCGAATAGATTAAGCAATAAAAGATTTAAATGTGACTTAGTTTAGTAAATATGAAATTTCTCCACATCTGTTCTAATAATTAAAAGGAAAAAAATGAAAAAAAGGTAAAGAACGGGAATGACCGAACCAGGTTCAAACCGGGTTGTGCTAATTTAAAATGTGTCAAATAATATGAAGAGAAACTAATAATTATATTTTATCATTATTTTAGTTATTTAATTAAAATTTAAATTTGTTCCGATGATGTATTTCTTTCATAATACACAAAGCACTTAGAATGAGCGCGAAATGGTTGGTGAAAGTGCCATCTACCGGATAAGTTCATAATAGTAATTGTTAAGAAAATTTCCATGTCGAAAGGGTCAACGAATGACCTACTTATAAACAAAAAAGTCTTACAAATAAATACGATAAAACAATGAAGTATCATCAAATGCATTGTTTATAGACAGTCAATCGTATCCGCATTATCTTTTTTTTTATTTTCATCCCCCAATTAAAATATGGAAAACGTACTTAAAAAAATAAAGAATATGAAGTACAATATATTTTAGTTTTAGAAATTAAGAATAAAGAAAAATAATTATTAATATTTTCTGAATAAAAGTTTTATTCTCGGGTTAAAACGTGTGAAAACAATTTTAATTGACGTGTTTTAGAACAAGTAACGCGGATTTTCTTGATTTTTGGTTTCTTATTCGTGCTCTACTAACTAAAGTAATTGGTGGTTTCCTCGGCTTTTCGATTAATTCAAAGTAGTACTTGTTGATCTAAATGTGTCAGTCAATGAGATATTATATTGTAGAAATAAAAATATTTATTTCTTATAAGGTAAAACCAGTTTTACAGGGGCAAACAAACATTATTAAGTGGATAAGTTGCTTTAATGATCATTATCTGTCATATTTAAGATCATACAATAGAATTACTTAAAATATAAAAAGTCAAGTGATTTAAAATATGTAAAATCCATATATATATAAATTCTTTAAGGAATAAATGAATATATTTTTTTTATAATAAAACACAATACTAGTGTAGTGTTTACTACGCCACAACCACGAATATTTTTTTAAAACATGATTTAAAAGAGGTATCAAAACATTTTTCATAATAGCATAAAGTTTCAATGTGATATGCCAAATTTATGTAAGGTACAGTACATGCAAATTACATTTTCATATATCTTATTAATTTGAATTACAAATTAAATGGTGATGATGCTATGAAAACTGCATACATTTATATCTAAAGTGCATAGAGTGCACACCATTATCATTCATAATGATTGTTTTTTATCAGTCTATTTATTGTAAATTAGCAAACTTATGAGAAGAAAAATATCTTGTAAAAATATTATTAGTATTATTACTCCATAACGCTCATTTTAGTTGTGAAAAATCTGTGTTCCAGTAAGTGGCTATTTTTTTATTTTCAGTTATGATTTAGGTTAAAAGCAAACATTTTTTTGCAAACAAAATATTTCAGTTGATTTCTCATTTTATTTTTATTGAGTCTTTTTCATAATTATATTTCTATTACACAGAAATCTAAATACAAGGTATGTCTTAATAATCAATAATACAAAAATAATACACTCAATGTAAGTTTCATATTGGAGATTTAATGTAAAAACATTTTTATTATATAATTTTGAACTAATGATAATACTTTCTGTTGAGATATTTCATTAGAAGAATGGAAGGAAATTATTATACTGAATTCTTAATTTAAAACAAATTGGAATAACAGCATGCTTTAATATAGTTAAATTTTAATAAAATATTATGAACATATTATTGTTAATTTAAATTTGAAAATTCTTATCAAGGTAATTCAGTTAATACCTCAAACACACAATAATTTCTAATTGTACTTTGATAGCCTAAGGTAAAAAACAATCTTACAATAATCAACCAAAATAAAATAATGTTTCATCGAACAAGAAATGTATTTATTCTAAATTATCTTATCATAACTATTGATAGAAAAAGTTTTTGATACTATTAATAAAACAGATTTAAAATTCTTTTAAAAAGTATTATTAAAAAAAAACACATTTTCCACGAAATTAATAACGTTGAAATGTGTTTTATTTTAATATTAATCCATTAACATAACCCAGAATGAAAAATGTTCCTCCTCTTTTTTTTCTAGAACAGATTCTTTTTTAATTCTAATTATATTTATTGAAAAGAACGTTTTGCAGCACGTAGATAATCAATAAAATAATTTTTTCCCTTATATCTAAATACGTTATTGTTGCTGAAACATCGTAAAAATGTCAATAGGATCAACGAATGATAGGATTGCAGATGTAAATCTTTCAACTTACATTTTGTATATGATGTAAAATATCAAGAACAACGTCTATAACATTGTAATAAATAATTAAATGTTACTTTTATTCTAAATTTACGTTGTTTCTATCAAAGAAATAAACTCATGACTTTACGTATACGTCGACGTACATTTAACATAAATTATAGTAGGCCTATCTTAAATGTATATATATATATATCCCTTAAGAGCAACAATATACATCAAACAAATACAAAACTACTCCACCAATGAATAGTTATAAACAAAATATATTCGTTTTCATTAATCTGATTGGTGGATCCAGTCTAACGTTTCAGCCAATCGAATTAACAAAAGTTAAGACATTCAAACGAGACAAGTTAATTTGATTGGTTCGATAGTGAAGACGTAACATTTGTAATATTTTTGTGTTTAAATTTAATTAAAGAAAATTACTTCTGAGACGTTCCGATAGACAATTCAATTAAAAGATTCAACGTAATTCTACGTTAACAATCGGGACATTTTATTTTATTTTTTATTTTTTACACGTAATTTTTTTATTCCTTTATCGTTATATTGTTTCAGATTGATCCTGAAAGTTATCAAAACTCCTGACTTTATAGTTTCATGATAGTTTAACTAATTTACGAACAGATTTATGTATAAACTTAGATGTATTGATGGAATATTAAACTAACTTATTCAATAATATGTACTGTACTGATTTACAAGTCAACTTAAACATGTTCATAAACAAGTTAAATCTAATAATATCAACTCTTAACTGATTCTCTATACATTTATTTAGTACAAAAATATGAAAGTAAATAATCAAATAAATATTTATTTCAGTTATAAACCTAAATTTTATTATAATCAACTCGACTACTTATCTAGAACATTATTTTCAATCATCATAACGAAATTTGCTTGAAATCCTAGCAAAGAGGATTTGAATTGCTTTATTTCTGGACTTGATTATGTAAATGCGGATTTACTAGATTTAATTCAGTAATGTAATTGTTAAACATTGTACAGTTTCGTGTCAATAAGTTTAGATGAAACTACATTTTGAACGTGTTTTAGAAGCTATAAAATAACTTATTTTCTTTCTTTTTTTTTTCTCTCTCTCTCTCTC